AATATATTTTAATTAATTAATTATATTACTATAATTATAACTAGGTTAATTCTAGTTCAACAATAATTGGATTAGCGACTCTTAAATCATTATCTTAACAAGTTCATTGACTAATCCTATTTTTACTTTCTTGTATATTACATGAAATTCTTTTATACATGTGTAAAAAAACTTTAACATCTAAATATATAAGTTTGATCAGTAACTATTTTTTTAATTGTTGATAGATTAATGCATTTTGTGCATGTGCCATAATCTTAGTTAGGTGCATTATTGGTTTTTCCTTTTCGCCAACAAATTAGCAGTGTGAGAACGAGAAGACGCAAATAGGTATCCATTCATTGAGTAGCTTTTCATTTGTCGTCCTTTTCGGGTGAAGAGAAGACTGACGAGACATTGAAAAAACAAAAACCTCTAACTTTAATTATAATTCTCTATAAGTATCATCATGTTAAAGGATGCGTTTACAATACACACACACATAAAATGTTATAGAACCTTTCCAACAACCCTAATGGTACAAAGATACACTTGTGGAAGATTGTGGGCTCTATCTTAGCTATGTTTAAATTGTTCTAGCTTGCCCTTAATGTTAAAGAAAAGGATATACAAAGGCTTATATATTAATTTATTTTATTTTATTATTTTTTTGTTTCTGCTATATTTTTTTATCAAGATGTTGTTGCTATATTTAATTTATATTCATGTATTGTCACAGTTAATTTTAATTTTTGTGAGACATGTAAATTGCAGCTAGTTACAAGATTTTTGAAAGAGCAAGACTCATGATTTGGTGCAAAGATGAGTTCCCGAAGCAAATGACCAGACATGGTTACATGAACACATAAATCCATGGCCATGCATGTTCCTCCCATTATATATTATATACCTTCACCATTGTCTTTGTTTTTACCTTTTTTTTTTCTTTTAAGATTTCGCAATCCTTTCCTTGTCATAACAAATATTCTGCTTTTTTGTTTCTTCGGTGAAAAAAGTAATCGATGTGTCGCTGTTCAATGGCTTTGTTAAAAAATTCAAAAAGTAAGTACGAAGGATAAGTACAAAATTCTCTCTTTTCGGCAACCCAAAAAAAAAAAAAAAGTGCGAAGGTTGAATATGTAGCATAAATTTCTTTTAGTGATAGGGAAGGGAGAGTTTATTGAAGAGATAAAAGAAGTAACATGTAAGTGAGTAACAACTGTAACACATATTTGTGAGAAAATTAATCATTTCCTTCTTATAATTTTATATTGATTGCAGTCTAATTTCCAAACTTTGTCTCAGCATAATAGTCCCTGTAATACATTCTCTTTAATTTTAATTATTTAAAAGGTTAGTCCTTATATTATAGAAAATAAATTTGGTAAGGATTAAAATTATTTCTCAAAACTTAATTAGTGACTAATTTTTTAAATAGCTAAAACCATGGGACTACATTGCATTGATTTAAAGTTCTTCTGAGATTGAATTTTAATCGAGACAAATTATAAAATTAAATTACATTAAGTTAAAGTTTAGATATACTAAATTATAAGGCCGTGTCAAGAGATTTTAGGGCTTAAGGCAAAATAAGTAATTAAAAAGATCTAACGTATAATTTATCGATTCTTATATTATTTTTTTAGTTTTTTGAGCTATAAAATTAAATAATAAAGTTTTATAATTAAGTAATTCTAATAGTTCACTCTTATAGCCAAATTCATGCTTTCTATTTAACATTTTTTATCCATAGAAATAATAAAAAAATAAACATTAGGTGTTTTGTATTTAGCAAAATAAAGATTAGATTAAAAAGGAACAAAAACACCCGACGGCTAGTCTTATTATGATAAGATGTAATCTATAGAGAAATAAATGGCGATTATACACCATAAACAGATAATTACATTATATGTAAGAAAAAAATAATTAAAAAAACCTGTCTTTGGGAAAAAAAAAAACTTTTCTTTTTGGTTCTGCTGCTTTTTTGGCGATTGTATGATCATAATTCATAAATAATCAATTACAGAAAATTAACAGACTGAAAGTTGAGACTTTAAAGTTTAAAGCCAGAAATTTAAGAAATATCTTAAGATGTAAATGGAGGAAATTGGTCAAAATTCCAAACATAAATTACCAGCAATGCAAGTGATGAAGTCATCCAATTGCCCCGTCTTTCAACTTGTCGTCCTGCTTTAGGGTGCACAATTTTTGAATTTATGCTCATTGTGTCTGCATTATATTCCCTTCTAGAAGATTATGACATTTTTCACTTTTTTATTATTAATTCCTCTATCAAATACTACACATATACATTGTAAGTTACTGTCTAAACTTAAGTCAAGTATTTTTGTCACATCGATGTGAAAATACTCTTTGACTTTTATTTTTAACACATAAGTGATATATTTTTAAATACTGTTTACGGAAATTAGATATATTTTTACAAAAATTATGTATAAAAATTATAATCAGACAAGAGAATTTATAAAGATTAAATATAGCTCGGACAATTAAAAAATCTTATTTATCATACTATTAATGCCTGAACAATTAAAACTCCGAGAATCCGATTCAACTCGTTAAGAAATTTAAAAATGACACAATTTATAGGTAAAGATCAAGGTGATTTATGAATTAGTATAAAATTTCAGTAATAGAACACTAAATAATGGTAAATAAAATGCACTTTGTAAAAATTAGATTTGAATTCAATGATTGGCACATATTCACCCACTTGATTAGTGTATGTCTCCCATGACACAATGATAACTATTAATTTAATTGAACGAATGTAAGGGATTTTGTAAGAATATCAAATATCACCTTCAAAATCATATCAAATCAAATCATAAATCAGATCAATAGTTGTTTTGAATTGTAGAGGGGACAGTCATGAGAAATGTTCTCATCACAAGGATTGCACTTAATTACTTTAAGGAAATATATTTTGATAATTTTTAAGTATTGATAAAATTTAATGATTATAATTGAAATACTTATTGAAGGATTAGATTTGAATCATTTGTCGGATTTAAATCCATAAAAATCTTGCATTTCAATATGATAACTAATTATATCTATGCACAACTTCATATCTTCCATTTGAATATGCATAGTACCTAACTGCATTTAAATAATAGTGTATGGATGAATATTGATAATGAATCCCTCAAACTTTTGATTAATATAAAATCTTTCAATGTATATATAAATATATTTTTTTCGTTAAAAAATATAAGACATTTTTGGAGGAGTTGGATATTAAAAAATATAAAATATTTTTAGTCTTTTAAGGTGTAATCATTATCTTTTTTCAAAAGTGCATCTATTGATTATGACCTTATATTCATTGTAGGGTGTTTAATAAGAATAAATATAAAAATATATGGTTGGTTGAAAAGTAGGTAACTACTTTATTGAACGATGATATTTGATTAAAAATACCTTATATTTTTAAATAAAGAAAGTACCAATCTATTCCGTTTTTATACTTGTGTATTAATTATAAACCACCATTCGTGTCAGGCGAGCATCACGTAGAGAGTTAAATGAATATTTATGGGATTCTGATTTTCTGGGAAAAAGATTCTTTAGCAAAGAAAATAACAAACAAATTGAAGCATATTATATATATATTATGGTGGTGACACATGCATGTGGATAGAGAATATATCATGAAACAAAACGAAGGTGTGCCATATTTAATTGAGTATTGATGATTTTTGCAAGAAGCAGATTGGAGCATTGCATATTGAATTTAGGGACTAAGGCTAGGATAAGAAATAACTCTTAGCTACATATTTGTTTATTACGTATTTTACCTACCTCTCACTGGCATATGCGCAGCATGTAAATTAATTAATCAACATCAATATATAATTTATAAAAAGTTAACTAGTTACAAGTAATTAACAATACGGCTCACTTAAGGTTTTTATATGAATGAAGTTTCGTTTTCATTTTCAATGCTAAATTTTAGAACAAACTCAGTTTATATATCATATCTTATTGTTTATTAAAGTAAGGGAAAATGACTATTTGGCTACTAAACTATGAGACCAGATAGCATCCGAACCCTTAAGAATCTTTTTTGTCATCTTATCCTATAAAATTATTTATCTTTGGGATAAGATTTTTGGGATTTTGGAAGGGTTCAAACCATGTGTTGAAAAGGAAAACGTTTATAGTGACTCTGTAGAAGCCATTCAATGAACACCATCAGACTTATCCTCTCATTAGTATTATCAGCATGACTAAAAGTCTATTTATCCGCGATTGGCGGATTCATTGACTAGGTTTTTAGAGACGTGAGTTAATATATCGATTGCTTTGGTCATCAAGTGACTTGTACATTTCAATATTAAGATTTTCAATGTTCCTGTCTCCAGGCTTAAAAACATTCTACGATCGGATTTTTTGTGATTAGTTTGTAACTACTGGGTCTTAATTCTTAGCCGTGGCTGGTCTATTCAAAATAAAAAACAAAAAATGGTATTTTTCTTTCACTCACACTTCCGTAGACCGAAGCGAAGGCGATTGTTTGTCAGATGAATGTGCATTGCATGCATTGTGTATGGGAAGAGAGTCAGGCAGGCTCCGCGGGGCCCACTCGTTGTTATAGTACTCATAGATTGAAGTGCATGTGATTATGTAAAAGATTTGCATTTCATATTTATGATTTATGATTCCTTTTCAATGCGTCTTGATTGGGCTGCTTTGCCTTTACTTTTCTTGGTCGTACCGACCTGCAGACCAAAGAATGCCAAATAGCCAGCAAGAGCCACAATTCACGTTACTTTCTGTAAGGAAAAATAAACTCTTGATATGTGAACACAGCTAAAAGTGTTTAACAACTTGTGAATGCTTTTGTTGTGTAGCTTATATCAAGAAACCCAACCCAGTAAGTATAGCGAGTCTGATTATTTCTGGGGGCAAATTCTGATGTTGATTGGCTTTTTCTTTTTAAGCCTCTTATTATCTCTTTTATACGCTTGGCCAGTGTTTGTGATACGTGGGGATCTTTATGCCTGTGTGTTGGTGTATGTATAATATTGACACAGTCACATGTACAGTAAGAGCTTTCAGCTTTGTGTTTTTGTCGCGACCAATCTTGTTTGGTTCTTTCTACTTTGGCAATTCCAGACATGCTTTCAGATTTCATATCTCTTTAGCCTCAGTCCTGTCCCCTTATCTTCTTGTATCTCTCTGTTTGTCCTCCGATCTACTTTGGTTTCTCAAATATTCCCACACCGAATATTCTCCCTCTCTGCTTTTGCTAGCCATGCTTCGTTCCTCACTTCCCATCTCCTCATTCTGCTTCACCATTTCATTGCCAACCATGGAATTCCTCTGCTCGCTGTTTCTCCGAATCTAATTAATTAGCTTGGCATGCAACTTTCCGAGTCTGACAAACTGTTATTTCCCACATGTTCTTCAAGAGAAGTGAACAAGAACCTTATTCCTACAGAAGAGTAATAAAGTTTGGTCGTCCAAGACTCCAACCAAAATTTATGCCCTTTGTCTACTGTTTGCGTGATGTTCTAAAATATGCTGTCTTGTGACGCAGGTGCTTGGGTTCGAAGGAGGAACAGATAGAGCGCTCAAAAGGTGTATAGTAAAAGAATGTTGAGCAGGGAATTTGAGTTCTGAACCAGAAAGACTATTGCTTTGCTTGGGAATATCAACGATGAGAAGAAAGAGAGATAAATAAATAAGTGAGCGGGTCGGTGGTGTCAGTACTCAGTATTGAGCAAGTGGGGGTGTCTCTGGTTTTGAGAAATTTTACATTATGTTCGAGATTGTCTCTGTGACCAATGTCTCCTTTCTTGAACCTCTTCGCCGTGCTCCTTGGGCTGTGTTGCCAATTCAATGAACAATCTCTTCTTTCAGTCTCTTGATCTCTTCTCCTTCTATTGGAGGACTAATTCTCATAATCACAGAGGAAAAACCACTTCTTGCTTCTCTTTCTGGCCTCGTTTTCTGGGAAAAGATTCGGTCATACAAGGAAATATACCATTCTTCTATAACATTCATCTCTCGTCTTCCCTTGAATTTGAGTGAAGGATTAGCATTCAGGAATTGGATCAATAGGGGGGCAGGATGAAGTTCATGAAACTTGGATCTAAGCCTGATTGTTTTCAATCTGATGGCGATAATATCAGGTATCATCATATTATATTTTGAGTTTATTGAGCCCGTGCTTGTTAATTTCCTCCCAAAATGCCCCATTTATCTCTTTGAGCCTTGTTTGTCTGAAAGATGATTTTTAACATGTTCCTCTTCCATAAATATCAATCTTCCATACCGTATTATTGAAAACTTCATGTTTTTTGTCTTGGATAGCCTTTTTTTTTTTTTTAACGCAGATCACCAGGAATATTTTCCAGGCAGCATTGAAATTTTCATCTTTGATGTGTAGTTCTTGTACTATGCTTATTCATACTTTAATGTTAAACGTTGTTCATCATCTATGATAGATCCAAGATCAACGCTGAGTGGCACATTTGGTTTTTTGTCATTTGAACATTCTTTCGGACAATATTCGCTTGGGTAATTCTATCGGCAGTCCTGTTACATGGATGCTGGAAAATCAGAAATTATCATTAACAAGAATTATATGTGTTGTCATTCTGTTCTGTAAATCAGCTCTCTTTTTTCAGCCTTTCCTCTTCAGAGTTTCCTATTTCTTCTACTTCCTGAATTGTTTGCTTTGTTTAAGACTAACATGAGCTAGGGTATATTTTTCCAGATATGTGACTGATTTGGCAACTGACATAGTCATCAGTGTTGGAGACGTGAAATTTTATCTCCATAAGGTAAGAATCTACTGACCACATGATCACTATATGCCCTGCAGTTAATATTTTACCAAATTCGTATGAATAAGGAATTAAGGGTTCCAAAGGAATAAGGTCAAACAATGCAATAAATTTCATATGTTGTGAAAGTAAATGCGTGATACCTTGCTTGGATTTTATATTGACTTGTCAACTACTCTGGTTGTGAGTATCTCAAGCAATTGGTTTGTTAATCAAGGACACTCATTTTCTAGACAGGTTTATTTAATCTGATTCATAATATTCTCTGGGGTGCTGATCTTGAGCTTGTTTCTTATTTATGCCTACAGTTTCCTCTTTTATCCAAGTGTTCCCGATTGCAAAAGTTGGTTACGAACACAAATGAGGACACTAATGGTGAAATTCAGATTCATGACATTCCTGGAGGATCTGCTGCTTTTGAAGCATGTGCCAAGTTCTGTTATGGCATGACAGTCACCCTCAACGCATACAACGTTGTTGCAGCCAGATGTGCAGCAGAGTATCTTGAGATGTATGAAACTTCTGAGAAAGGAAACCTCATCTACAAGATTGAAGTCTTCCTTAACTACAGCATTTTCAAGAGTTGGAAAGACTCAATCATTGTTCTTCAAACTACTCGCTATCTTCTTCCATGGTCTGAAGAACTTAAAATAGTGAGTCATTGCCTCGACTCTATAGCTTCCAAGGCTTCAATGGATACATCCAAGGTGGATTGGCCATATACCTATAACAGGAAAAAGCTTTCCTTTGAAAATGGGAATGATTCTCATTGGGACAGTGTGAGGAAACATCAGACAGTTCCAGTGGACTGGTGGGTGGAAGACCTTTGTGAGCTTCAACTCGATCTTTATAAGCGAGTCATGATAACAATTATAACCCAAGGCAATGTCTCTGGGGCTGTAATTGGAGAAGCTTTAAATGCTTATGCCTCAAGAAGGTTACCAGGTTTTGACAAGGGAGTGATACAAAAAAGTGACAACATGAAATATAGATTACTGTTGGATACTATCATCCGACTACTGCCTGTTGAGATGGACAATGTCTCTTGCAGTTTCTTGCTCAAGTTATTAAAGGCATCAATTGTTTTGGAATATGAAGAGTTGGAGATATCTGAACTGATGAGGAGAATAGGGCAGAATCTTGAGGAGGCTACACTATCTGATCTTTTGATTCCAGCATCAGTTGGTGAGACAGTGATGTTTGATGTTGATACTGTACAAAGGCTAGTTGAAGAGTTTGTGGCATTTGAGCAGAGTTATCAGAAAACCGATTCTCGTATGGGAGGAGATGAATTGCAAGAAATCAGAAGCCCAAGGAAGGTGTCGGATACTTCTAAGCCGAAGGTAGCAAAATTAGTGGATAACTACCTTGCTGAGATTGCGCGTGATCCCAGTTTGCCTCTCTCGAAATTCATCATTATTGCTGAATTGGTATCAAGCTTTCCAAGACCATCTCATGATAGCCTTTACAGAGCCGTTGACATGTATTTAAAGGTGATTTTTTTCCTTACTCCTCTTAACACTTGCACTGTCATGTGGATAAATTTTTCAAGCCAATCATATATGCTGCTATCTTCCTCAGGTTACCTAAAAGCAGTATCATGAGGCCAATACCAGAGAACATAGCTGATCTGTTTGATTCATAGTATTTGCAGCACTGATGTCCATTTCTAGCAAGATAATTGTTCAAGTTTCTCAGCCTGATTGTGTTATGCAATGCAGGAACACCCCAAAATCAACAAGAGTGAGAGGAAAAGAATATGCCGGTTAATGGATTGCAAGAAGTTGTCAGCAGAAGCCTGCATGCATGCTGTGCAGAATGAGAGGCTTCCCTTGAGAGCAGTTGTGCAAGTTCTCTTCTTTGAGCAGCTTAGAGCCACAAAATCATCTGGTGGGACCGCAACATTGGATGCTCCAAAGTGTACTAGGAACTCGCTTCCTGACGGGTCTCATGGCAGCTCAAGATCTACCACAACCAATACAGAAGAAGAATGGGATGCTCTTAAAGGCCAACTTGCTACACTAAAATTATCACATGGCAGTGACAGAAGCAGCAGCAACGATGGTGGTGGAAAAGGAAATGCTGATAAACTAGCAGCTAGTAAGATGAAAGGATTGCTCATGTCAAAGAAGATAATCTCTAAGATTTGGTCAAGCAGGGAAAGAAATGGTGAGATTACTAGCTCTGATACTTCAGAGAGCCCTACTTCTACAGTCATGGAGGAAACAAAATCTACCCCATCTACAAGCGGCAGACAATCAATGTCTTAGAACATGTTTTGCAGCATTAGGACTAGGGAGCTATGAGCTTTGCTGACATCTTCCAAGCTGCTTCTTCCATGAAATTCTGAGCAATATTGGCAACAAGAATATTAAATTATATTCTGGGTGGATTGTTGCTGTATCACTTGCTCAGAGAATAGGCATGGACTCTAAAATTTTGCTGTACTGAAATAGAAGTGTTTCCAGGTGTATGCATCTAAATTCATAAGAATCTTGCAAGCCTCAAAAAGCCACCACGTTTTATATGCCAGAATTTAAATTTTGAATCATCAAATCAGCTAGTAGTACTAGCATGGTAGACTCTTAATAATACAGACATCTGCAGTATATTAAAAGTCCATACAGAAAAATCTCCATAATACAAAGAACTCGGACTCAAATGGGTATATCACATGGATCTTGTTATCAAGAGCATGCATGTTATCTCCTATTTGAGGGCTACCATTCCATTTTAAGATCCAAGTTGGGCTTCATATGTATAAATATATATATTTGCACTGTTCTCTGAGTCCAACTAAAACAAGCCCAGGTTTTAAGGCTGATATAGACTTTGAGCCATATTTTCTTTGAACGTATACGTGGCTGAAGCCAGGCCTCAGCCCACCTGCACATTGTGATTCACATAATTGCTTGAAATAATTCAATTGACCTTGATTTAATTACTTGATTAGGACACCTAAACAAGTTAGTCAATGTAGGGTTATTTCTAATTGCTTTTCATTATATAGTATATGTACTAGAGACAAACATGATTTTTAGATAAAGGCCATTCAAATCTGGTGGACCTTATGAAAGGATAATGTTAATTAGTGATCTTGTCACCTAAACTTCCCGACAACGATGGACACACGTCTAATCCCACTTTATAGATGAAGAAAAGAGAGAGATTTTTCCCCCTCAAAGAGATACGAGAATTGCTTAAAGATAATCTCACTTGTTAATTAACTCCTGATTTGAAAATAAGGTAATCAAATTCCAAGACGGAATATGAAGATGCCATTTGTCATCATTGTCCACATGATCAAACCAGCGAAATAGGCTTTGCTTCGCCAAGTCACATTCATTCAAATTCCACCCCTCATTTGCCCAATATAAGCAATAGATGAGGTTAAGCATATATGGTTATTAATTAAGAAATTGGTTTGTGTTTAAAATAAAATATCTTTACTATTTTGGGCCCAATAAATATAGAGTATAGGATAGCTTGGCAATAAAAGATATAATACTTTCTCCATCTCAAATTATAAGATACTTTTGAAAAAGTTATTTCACCCCAAAATATAGAACAATTGAGTATAGTAAGGTTTCATTAAATGTATTAATTTCAATATTATCCTTTCTCTCTCTATAATTAATTTCTATTACTTCTCTTTTCAATATATTAAATGATAAGTATTTTGAAAAGTTTACATTTTTTTTTAAGATAAGATTGTTAAATATATTTAATGAGGTTTATTGATATGTGAGATTTTATTTAAAAGTATCTTATAATCTGGGACGAAGCATAGGAAAGAAAAAATGGACAGTTGAAGTGGATAATTATGAGAACTATTTTTGCAAGCATCCGTTAAATATTCATGAAAGTTTGTAATATTATTTATATTTAGTAACAAAAGTTTCTCCCATTTTATTACTTATATTAGATAATGGAGTCAGTATTTATTAATCCATGAAATTGAATAATGTTAACAAAAATTAAATACGAAATACTTTTGTAAATAAAAATAAAAAATGAAATAAATATTGTATATCTTTTAAGAAATCATAATTCTTCTCCAAAAATGATAGTGCTAATTGAGTTCATTTAAGTTAATGGCAAAAACTATGGATAATACCAATGTTGATTGGATTTTATGAAATAGATATGATTTCCTTAATAAAAATTCAAATCTTGTGGCTACAAAAAAAAAATGATGGTATAATAGCTATTCTTACTTGTACAGTTAATTAATATTCTCATATCCATCACAAGCCAGATAATAAATGTTCATACAAAAAAATATGAATAACGTTTTAACAAGATTAGGGTAAAATCCCATAATATTTTGGCGGGATTAAGAGTACGTTATCCGCGGATATAGCATAGATTGATCTTATTTATGGTACAGGTGAACAAAGAACATAGATCACTTATAATAAAATAAAGGTAAAATCCCTTAACGATATGAGACATAATTAATTAATTCACGAAAATTAAGAAAATTAGTTAAGTTTGCTGCTGCTATTGTTATTATGTTAAAAACGTAAAACTTTTTCTAAAATATCTTTTTTTTTCAATAAGATCAAATGTGTGAGAGAAAGCACGTGAAAAAAAAAACATGGAAAAATTTATGAGGATCATGTGGAATAAATATTAGAAGGACTCAAGAAAAATTGAGGTTCTATATTTAGGGCTAAATTTTTTTTTTAAAAAAAAAACCCTTCAACTAAATCTTAATTTAAGACGATTTTTTTTTTTTTGTAGCTGTCATAATAGAATAGTTGTTAATTAGTGTAGATTGCGCGGCAATCCCTATCTGGAGCTCCCAATTCGATTAGTATAATCTCCACATTATGAAGCTGGAAAGTGAGGTTTCCACACCTAAGAGATTTGTCAATTACTTAGTAATCACCATATATAGGCTTAGCCGCAGCGTGCTCCAGCCTTGCCTAACACCTACTCTCCTGTAATTGAATAGGGACATCGATCTCTTATAAAAGAGATTGGGGATTTTAATTTGTCCCCGGGAGGACTGGTTCTTTTGGTTAGATTCAAATTTAGTTGATACTTGGTCTTCGATTATTTCCCTTACAACAATAATCGAATCGTATCTTATTATGGTACACAGACAGGCATGCCCAGTCGTGTCATGCCTCTCATATTTCTCCCAACAACTTCTTCAGCTCATTATATCCATCCAATTCACATATCCTCCTCTTTACTGCTATCCCACACCATTAATTTTGCTGCTACAAAAGCAGATTTGGAATCTCATTCCCTCCCCTCCCCCAATTCACCCTACATCATTATTATTCATTAACATTTCCCTTTATTACAATTATATTTTCATCATGTTTTGGAAAAATCACTTTCAATTCCCCCTACAAAGATTTTCTTGAAATCATAAAATTATTCTAAAACCACGTGTCATTTAGTGAAGTTCTCAATTATTGCTGCTTAGCTATTAACTGAACAATTCTACTAATAAATATACATCATTGACAGCTTTAGTAAATCAAGAATTTCTCTGTATGCAAATTCCTTAGGTGGGATCTAAGAGTATTTTCCCGCATACTTTAGTGTTTTCAATGATGGCGCCTGCGAGGCTTGGGGACAATCGGAGTGAAAGCTGGTATAATTAACTTTTGCAGGTAGGTAGCAACCTTGAATTGAACTGAACCTACCACTTGGTAATTCAATCAGTTTTATTATATTAGCACCTAAGAAGAGCTTGGATCTTGCAATGATTTGACTGACCAAGAAAGAACTTACTAATGTTACGTGTGACTTGTGAGAGTAATTATTTGACGGTTGAACTCTTGTAGTAATATATTTAAAACCATATCTCGCGCCAACTTGCTTCGGAAACTAAACCCGATGGAAGGTCCCACCAAGGCTGCCTGGTTTAATTTAGAATACCAACATCAACATTGTAAAATAATATGCATGCGTTAGGCTGTTTCCTACTTTTCTGTACGTCCTTATTCGGAAACGTGCCTTCTCATATTTTAACTACAAAGTCCTTCAGGAGGTCAACGCGAGCCAAGCTATAAACACAGCCTCTCTCTCCATTAATGGCACAGCAATCTCCATCTTGCACAGAGAGCCAATCGCTCCAAAAGAGAAAGTTTGTGAGAGAGAGAGAGAGAGAGAATGTCCCCCAGGAATCTCTGCTCTAGGTTCTCTGAATATAATAGTAAATTAAGGGATGAACATTTGGACTTAATAATGGCCACCATGTCATCTGATTCCCACTGCCTTCAATAAGCAAGATACGAGGAACCCTATCGAACAAAACATAGTAGGATAAGGTCCTAGGTCCCCCACCTGTACCCACACGCATTCACATTATTATCAAACACACAATTATCCACACCCATTCACATTATTAAATATAATTTTTTTTTATCCCGGTATGATTCAAATTAATTCCGCAAAAACAATCTAAAATTATTCAAGAGATTGTCCCTCTTTTAAATAATATTTTTTATAAACAGTTCTAAAAATCAATTTTGGAATGATAATTAAGAGACTCGAATCTCTTCGCTACCATCCGTGTTGCACATTTCAAATACCCATTGGATATTCTGATTCACGCTGGGAACACTCTCACAAGGTCCAAGTCCCATTATACAGATTAGACAATTCCAATGATTAGATTTTGGAATAACGAGGGAAGTCCCAAAAGATGATACAGGCAAATACAGGACACCGGAGGCTAAAGGTTGCGTTTGTTGGCTTCGAGGGGATCCAAAAAGAAAGCCACCTCCATTTACACAAAAGCTAATTTCAAATTACAGAGGCTTGAGGATATTCTTTTTAACTTTACAATGACAAAAATCCACGCCTCCGTCTTCATTCTCTGCTTTTCTTTTCCACCGTCAAACTCAAAGTCGTTCCCCCGAGAAAATCTCGCGGAAAAGCAGGAGACTGAACAGCCAACCTAAGAAGCAAAACGACATGCGCTTTCATTACACTTCGTAGCTCTTGTTTCCCTCGTTTTTTGGATTGGAGAACTAGAATTAGAATTCTCTGGGATCAACAAAAATGGACAATCCAGGATAAGATTTGTCCAGTCGCCGACAGAGCCGTCACTATAGTCTTCCCCGAGCCTCTTGATACACCATAAATCCTCGGCGCATGATAGCATCTTCCAGTGCGGAATCCCTAACTTCAATGGTTCGCAGCACGAAACCTCCGTCCCACCGCTCCACAACCACGCACCCTGTTTCCGCGAGTTGTGCGCGTGCCCGCACAAAGCTTCACCATCTTCGCCGCCCTCAGGTCCTTCCCCTCCTAATCCGTACATTAAGTGAAACCCGAACGGCCTGAAAAAATTCGGAATCGATGGCAGCTGCAGAAACGGCAATGCCCGGTCCACAATCCGCGTCATTTTGGCAAGAGTGCGCTTCACGAGCGACGCGCCCCGGACCTCCAGCGTGAACACTTCCTTACAGTTCCAGACGCTGATAACCGCCCATGATTCGGGTGGGTCCGAGAGGAATAAGTCCGACCCGGGCCAAGTGTCT